GTGATTGTCCTGCTTCAGTCTCCCAGAGTGCTGGGGCTGACGTGTGTGCTATCACACTAGGCTCCCTTCATCTCTTTAAAGGCATGGCTCACAACTTCTGATACCATCTGCATGGAACCTACAGACTTGCAGGAATTGACAGAAAAGAGTTTGTAATGCTCACGTGTTGAAAGTGCTTTTAAGGGTGACTCTGAGCAGCAAATATGCCTTATTTGCTTCTGACTATGGTGAGGATTTTGCCCCTTCTATTCACAGGTTCTCATTATACAAGTGCATCCTGACTGCTATTGGAAAAGTCCGAAAGTAATAAAGTAAAATTGTAGTCTGGCACAGGCTTCAGTCAAATTGACCATACTGAATTGAGATTAATTGCAAAATCTTTTAATTCCATTAATGCAGAGCTCCCACAAGTTGAACAAGACATTTTGTGTGCATTTAAAGTCTTTTCATCACAGCTGGCGGATTACATACAACACTCATTTGCTCTAAAGGTAAACATCTTAACCACAGAAATTACAGAGAGACATGGAAAGCATCTCCAGTGTCTTCCGGTGAAGTTATTGTATCATGTTTATTAACATTTCTGTTAAAAATGAACAATAAATTATAGTATATTTCATAATGATTTCTCAGCCACCTCTCACCTACATTACAAGAATCCCAGGACATCCATATTATCTTCATTTTGCAGTGAAGGAGATGAGACCAGAGCAGTCACAGGCTTTGTCCAAGAATACATAGCCAGTAAATACAAACGTACTTTGTACACTGGCTCTAGAATCTTTGCTTTCTCTCTCAGAGAACACAGCTTCTGTTTAGATGCTGAGCAGTCACTGGGTGGCATAAATTCATTCAGGAAATGAGTCTGTTGCCCGTACTGAGATAGTCTCTTGTCCTCTCCTTGTTTTTCCTATTTATTTTAGGTTGTTTAACACATCTATTTATTTCACCAGGTACAAAATCATAGTAATACGATGTGGCTCAAATTTCAACAACTTCTTTATCAGGGAGGTTAGAAAGAGCACATTATACAGAGAGATTTGTTACGTGTCAAGAGGCATCCAAATAGTAGGAAAAAGAAAAAATGATTGTTTTAGTATTTGTAAAATCATAAAATAAAATTCCAGCTGACACCATAAGTCATATACCAAAGTGAATTTGAGATGGATTAAAATGGACAAATACAAATTAAATTAAATTAAATTATTTTTAAATAAAAATAAATTTAAAAATTTATAAGAACATGAATATATACCTCATTTTAAGAGTGCATAGGACATTTTAAATACAAAGGTAATGAAAGAACAGACACATGTCTAGAGACACAATTATATAACATTACTTCTGAATATTCATAAAAAATAAAAATCAAACAACAAGTGGGGAACTATTTGACATCAGATAAAAGAGGGTTGTTATTAATATATAAAGCTCTTTACATCAATGCCAAAATGACACTAAGACTGCAGTTAAAAGAGGATTGAGAATACAACCAGACAATTCAATGAAGAAGCATAAATGGCTAATATTTATTAAAAGATTTCAATCCATCTTGTAAAGAAAAATCTTAATTAAAACAAGAATTTCTTTATCAGAATATATATATATATATATAATTTTGGTGATGGTGCATGACACATACTTTGGTGGGTGCAAACTTTCTGGAAAGTATTTTTAAAATAGTTTCAAAGAACTTCAGAGAATTTTATTTCTTTGACGTCATAATTCTCTTTCTAGAATGCCCTCTGTGGCGTTAGTAAGAATTTCAAACAATGGTGTGCATTTTCATAATTTTATGTCAACATTTTTAGAAAGCTTTTTATTATGGAATACTTTACCTCAACATAAAAGTATAAAGAATATTATAATAAATCTCTATGGGCCCATTCCCTACTTTAAAAATTATTGACATTTTCCCAATCTTGTTTCATCTGCTTTTGGTCTGCTGTTCTCTTGCCCAAGTCTCGTGAATGTCTTAAAGCAAATCTAAGGTATCATATTACTTTATTTCTAAACTGCTGTATGAGAAACCTTTGAAAAGTAGCCAAAGGACATTACTAAGTCTAAGGAAATAGAATGCTTTATATCAAATTCCTCCATTGTCCCAAAAATATATTGTAATAATCATTGTTTTACATTAGAATCCAAAAGTTTGTAAATTGTGCATAGAACTCTTCTTGTTTTTCCCTGATATTTATTTGCTAAATAAAACAGAATAATCTGTTCTGTAGAATGTAGCACATTCTAGACCTAGCTGATGCCTGCTTTACAGTATCATTAGATTTTTTTCTCTATCCCTTTTTTTTTTTTTTTTTTTTTGGTTTTTCTCCGGTACCGGGAACTGAACTCACGACCTTGCACTTGCCAGGCAGGTGCTTTGCCGCTGAGCTAAATCCCCAGCCCCTCTCTATCCCTCTTATTTCTTTATACTATTACTAACAGTGAGAGGCTTGATTAGACTCAGGCTAATTTTTTATTTTATATCTGAGAGATAGTGTAGGTGTGATATCCTGTTCTTCCTGTCGTAGCACACCAGAAGAGTGCATGTAATTTCTGGTTACCCCAATTTTAGTGTTGCTGAGATTGATCATTCGTAAGTTGTGACAAGTCTTCCATGACCATGTGTGTCATTATTATATAATGGTTATAACATTCATTAGTGATCATTGGCCAGACCCATTATTAAGAATTTATAAAATGACAATTTTCTAGTTTTATCTATTCTTTTGTACTAATTAACTCATAGGTTTTTAAAGGGAAAAATTTATTAGCTGCAAGTTAAATACCTTAAAGCAATTCATGCTGGGATAGCATGTCCTTGCTTCTTTTTCTCATTTATGAATTTTCAGAGTAATGAATTAATGCTTTTATAATCTCTATGTCTTACATTTGTAATGGTGAAAACTGGTGATAATACTAATGTCCAACAGTTGGAGATGCACGGTGGTATGTCCATTTAGAGATCCATTCTGTGAATGTTGTTTGGTCCTTAAATTTTAAGGAGTGTTGAATAAGAAATTCTCAAGATGAAATAGGAGGTGGAAGAACAAATAAATGGTTATATAATGAGATTCAAGTATTGTCTAAAATGCAGGCATTATAAGATACCTTCTCAAACTTATATACTAACATAATTACCACAGAATGGTGAGTTTTGGGGGTCTATTAATGTTTGTGTTCTCTTTTTTACACATCCTTCTACAAAGTATATTATTTTTACAATTAAAAAAAGGTAAATTTGTTTAAATGAAAGGTCTCTGGACAAATTATACTTGGAGAGATTCATGGATGCTGATCTTGCCTCTGGCTGCAACTTCTCTTTTACATCTAAACTGGTCTTTAAGGCACTAAACAAACACAGGGATAAAAAGTACTCAGGTTGGCCAGTTCTGTCGACAGCTGAATTGAATGGTTTTAGCCTCTCTTCCTCCCACCCAGTGTGTGTGTGTGTGTGTGTGTGTGTGTGTGTGTGTGTGTGTGTCCAAGAATGAAAGGGAACAAAAACACTTGCTTTGATTTTTAACAAGCCCTTGATGATTCCCTAGAAAAGTATTTGATTCTTTAGGGACTTCCCTGAGACCTCGTTTCTACCTCCATAAAATGGAGATCAGACGATATGATTCATGGGATTGTTTCCAGCATGATGTATGTAAAATTTCTTCTACAATCCCCAGCAATGAGCAAGTTCTTAACAAACACTAATTTTCCCTTTACTTTTCCAAAAGATAAAGGAAAGCAGTCAGTCTTCTGAAACTTTATTATATTTAACGTTAGCTAATTCTGGCTTTGGGCTGTCTAGATTCTTGGCCTCAGGCAAATGACATAAATTTGTGCTTTGGTTTCCTTATATAAAAATGAGACTACTTAGTGCTGACTTATAAACTTCTGGGTATAGTAAATGAATTAATAAATGTAGAGTGTTTATAATCTTTTCTGGAATAGAATTGGAATTATCTAATTGTAAGTTATAATCAGCCTCGTGGAATGAAATTGCCAAACTCAAGATTCAAGGCACTTCCCCCTTGAGTGATGCATGAGTTACAATGACCACTTCTCGCTTTTCACATCTCTTTTTCCATGTCTTCGACAGACTTTCTTCTTTCTGTTTATACATTTTATACTCACAGCTACACAATCCAGATTTTGCTTAATAAGGTCAAGATTTCTTCCTGTTACTATACATGACTGGGATTATGTGAAACTTTCCCCTTTTCCCTATTGGACTGATGTTTGTACATATGCTTGTGTGTGTGTGTGTGTGTGTGTGTGTGTGTGTGTGTGCATACTTGTATATGTGTGTATATAATGGTCCTCAGATAACTGATACCACCAACCTGATAGATTTGGGTTCAACTGCAACTTCCAACTGTCCGTTTTTGGACTAATCTTTTCTACATATTTTACTTTTGTAGTCTAATTTACTAGCATATCACTTACAAGCTAAACATGGCAGTGTTCTTGGTAAGGGTAGGAACATGACGACCTAAACTCTTGAAACTACACTGACAGCAGCAGGATTATTAGATGGATTTAGGAAAGGCTGCTGAACGAATGACTCAGAGATAGGGACAATACACATGGCCATATTATTCAAGGGGTATGGTGCCTAATCAACACACAGGAAGCACTAGACTACAAGCGGGAGCAGTACTTTCAGATTAGAGAGACTGTGTCAGAAAACACTTCCTGCTCAAACTCAAGGATATAAAGATATATCCAAAGTGGATGTGTTCTACACTTTGGAACTGAGTCGATAATTTTCAAAATGTGCTGTTGCCGAGATCAGACTATTTCTCTTATTTAGTCAAAGGCACCAGGGTGTTTCTCAGGTTCCATCAGTGTGATAGAGCATATTCCCTAGGAAGCAGGACACACATGTGATAGTATATTACCAAAATTCATGATCGATCCAATTATGTGAATGGAGTTTGGAGAAATGAGTGCTGATGAGTAAAGCCTCCTCATTAATTTGGAAGCAGTGCTCAGAGAAGATGATCTGTTTCTGATTGCTGATCCCAGTTGATTGGACAGAAGTATCCGCAAGGAAGAGGACAATTCACCCAGGTATTCCACTTTACTGAAACCATTGATTATAGCACCAGCGTCCAGATACTTTCTTTGTCCACAAAGGCACTGTCTCCATTGCCCTTTGCTCTACTGGTTGTTCAGACTAAGCAAGAGGAAGTGGTTTGTGCTAATGCCTGACAATATGATCCTGTCAGGTGAATGCCGTCTCTGGGGCACACCACAAAGGACCTTGTAGGCCATACTAAGAATTTGGGGGACTGGAATGCCACTTGCGGGTTTTAAACAAGAAGGTGTGAGAAAGTATGGTGCTAGTTATAGATCTATAAAATATGAAATTGGAAAAATAATCTTAAGTTATTTTAAGTTTAAAAAAAAAGAGAGTCACTCGCTTCCAATTCATCCTGGAAATACTCCAAGATAGTGTATTAGCACTCTTTGCTGAAATAGAAACTATAGATTCCCCCACATACTGATTCACACGATCACAGGGGAAAGGCACGGGCTAGAAATTCCGACGAGCTGATATTACAGATTTAAGCCTGAATTTCACAGGGCAGCAGCCTGTAGACGAACGCAGGATTTTTATGCCACAGCTTTGGGGAGAATTCCTTTCTGCTCAAGGAAGCCCAGTCCTAGCTGTTTCAGCCTTCATCTGTCTGCTTTATAGGGGAAATTTGTTTTACTCACAGTCTATTGAGCAAATGGTAGTCACATTTGAACAGCAGCATTTTGATGAGTAGAAATCCAAACACTTGACATTATAGGCCAGCCAATTTGACAATAAAATTAATAATTGCAGATGGTAAAGAATTTATGTTGTGATCCTTAGTGTAGCGGTAACTTTGTTAGCCCAAAAAAGTCAAGTGACCATTTTTGCTTTAGGCTTGTCAACCTAAGAAAGAATTCTCCTTATCTGTTTCACACTTGGAGAAGGAAGCAGAAGGCAGTAAGAGAATTTTATAATCCCTGGAAACTCCAAGGTGCTAAGCACCATTCTTTACACACAGTCCCTTTTTGTCCTGTTACTGACATTGCCGAGGTCTACTAGTTGATGGTTTGTTAATTCACTGGAATTCGCCACTTTAAAAAACACAAACGCCTGAATCTCTAATGAAAAATCTTGCTTTCTTAGGAGACAATATTTGCAAAACCCTGATGACCTTGTTTAAAGATGAAAAGGGATATTGGAATGTGTTCTGGAAGGTTGCTAGCGATTTGTATGATGGCAGAAAAGGTAAAAATCTCCTTTTCACTTTCTAGCTTTAAATGTTTTTTTTTTTTTTCCTGTACATTTTGGAGCCATGGTGATAAATATACCAACCAACAGAAAAACACACGTCATCCCGAGCCCATTAAATATCCTTTGAGGTTTACAAGGAAAAATGTCTTATTTTTTAGGAAAACAGTGGCTCATTATTTAATTATAGAAATTTTAAAATGATAATTTAAAGTAAAACTAATAGCATGCTAATATTCTATACATTTTTATTTAAGCTCTAGCTCTAAAACACATTTAAATCAAGCTTCAACAAAACAAATATTAAAGACAAGTCATGTTTTCATCAGTCGTAGTGTCCAATGTTAATAAACCCATTGTGATTATTAAATGGGATAATACACAAGAAAAATCTAGCTTTTGTAGGGTGCTAGTTTGTGTGTTTTCAATTTTGGTGTGTTTTCCAGGATTCAGAGATGATGGCAAATTAAAAAATCTTAGTTGAGCTAATCACTTTCAATTATATTTTAACAAATTTTCACAAAAGCATCTGGTAGCTGAAACACTGAATTCTATTATTTTCTTCTTTCTCCTTTAGCCCCACACTTTCTCAGCTTCTGGAAGACGTGTTAGCAGGAAAGGAACTATCTGCACCAGCATATCCATGGCAAGAGCTGTTCATACCCTCGGACTCTTACTAAGTGAGGGCTGATCTGCTGAGCATTTGCCTTGGGATTGAACGTTGGATTGTGTTTCTCATGACATTTACCAGGTTAAATCTGTAGCTCATTTTTATTGCATTTTAGAATAAACCCAAACTTTTATCAACAAAGTTTTATAAGTTTAGAAAGAATTTTCATTTTTGCAAGAAAAATATTAGCATTCTACCTTAGAGTGTTACTGTGAGGTTAAATAAATAATATATAACAATTGCTGTGCTCTACATAGAGTAATTTAGTTCTCAGTAACTGTTATTTATGATTGCTATGAGAGTTATATTTCTGATATTTTGAGCATGACTGATGATATCAAACATTTTTAATGGAACCACTTTGAAAGCCACAAGAACAGGTTTCAAGAACTGGGTGAGTATTTGAAAAGAAAATATTTTAAATTATACAATGTTTGAACATAAAGTGGGGAAAGGAAGTGGTATTCAAATCAGATAAACAAATCAGGTTTTTAAAAATTTTCTGCTCAAATTTTCTCATCTGAGATTTGATTATGGCCAAAAATTATTGATTCAGTGAAGTTTCAGTGTTACATCGAGGTTTAAATTTTACTCATTTCCTCACTACTACCCAGGGCTGCCTGCCCTGAGAGAAAGAGGAAAGTCATACTTTCAAAACGCACTAAATTCTAAAGTCACTTCAAGATCTCCTTAACTGTAATGTGAAACCCACATCCTTCCTCTCTGGCTAAGGTGATGGCAAAACCACCGTAGAAAATCAATTCTACAAGCAGTTATAGTGTAAATATCTGTCAAAGGAAAATCGTCAAGCCACATGTTCCAAACTGGCAGGTACACGAGGCACCAGAACACTAGAGCCTCGGGAGCAGCAGATACCTGAGTAGAGCACCGTTTGTGGTTAGAAAGTGAGGGGAGAAACATGATTCAAAACCAGTGCTCAAAAACCAATAGCATTTTATACTACAATAAAATACCAAGGAAAATTCTATTTTTGAAGGTGTCATTTTTCTGTTTTCTAGAAGATAAAAACAATCTCTAAACTACAGTATATTTATTCATAGCTGCCAAAATGATCCTATTGACATTTTTAAAGACTTTGTGAAAAATCTAAAACGTGCAAAAAAGTAGAGAAAAACGAAAACCAATGCTCAAGAACCTATCATCCATGTTTAAGAATTCTCAGTATTTTGACAATCTAGTTTCATTTAGCCATCTTTTTTCTCAGTGAAATAATTAGGCAAATTTCAGATGTTGCATTGTTTCATCGATAAATACTTCATTACTTACCGGCAATTGAACAAATATGTCTTATATATAAGCCATGTCATTATTCCAACTTACAAAATTACTAATACTTTGTATGATCTAAGATTCAATTCACATTCAAATTTACTTGATAGTCTCACTTATTTTCAACAGTATATTTTATTTATTATAATTAAGTAAAGATGCTATGAAAAGTAAGTGACTGAAAGCCACGTAACACACTTATTTGAATAAACATTTATAGTAATGGTCATTTGGTGATGATAATAATTAAAATGATAGACCTATAATATATTGTAGCAAAAACTAATTATTGTCTCCAGCATCAGGTGGCAAAAATCCTTAATTTTAAATTATACAGTATTTTAGAAAGATGAATTTACAGTTCTTGTTCTTTAAGTTTTAGGAGAATTTCTTGTTTTCCTGAAAATGTTGATAATTTATTTTCCTTCTTTTGACTTCTATCTTATAATATTTTATTTTTCCGATTATAAAAGCAATACATGCTCATAAAAATCTGAAAAGCCTACCATAATTCTATAAATACAATAAGCACTCAATATTCTAGACAATTTACCAGTCTTTTGTGTGGATAGGTATATATGATATATAAAAGAGTGTATAATATATGTAAAATTAGGATTTCTTTGCCACTTATTACAATTAGTATTTTATTTTATGTATGTGTCAAGTCACTGAACAATGTTTAACATTATTTAGTGGCATAATTTTCAAAAGTGGAGTTACTATGTTAAAAGAGCATACATTTAAGATTTCCAGTGTTAATTGCCTGATTTTTCCCCCAGAAATTGTCTTCTGGTTTAATTTCCAGAAAATAAGTACTTGTTTTAATTCAACTACATCAGTATAAAGTAGTAACAGTCATATTTGAGATTAACGTATGAAACACAGCATCTCAGTTTTCTTTTTCTTTTTTTTGTGAAAATGAGCTCTTTTTAAAAGTTTTATGAAAATTATTTTCCACGTGTTTATATGTATTATCATATTCTTTGCCTAATTGTCCTGTTTGTCCAGCTTTCTATTTCAGAGCTCATCTTCCCAAATTGTAAAGCCTGGTCTCTCATAAAGTTATAAATTCTGTGTTGTATTTTCTAGGGCTCTCTATAGGAACAGAATCAACAGAAAGTATATGTATAATTATGCAACAGCATTTATTAGGTAGTCTTGCAGGATCACAGGTGAGAGAACCCACAGGCAAGAGAGCCCACAATGGTCTAGCAGCTGCTTAGTCTGAGAAGACGGAAGCCACAGATGAGGAGAGATCAAGGATATAGCACTGGTCCTAGTTCAAAGGTCTGGAAGCTCACTGTAGAGTTGCTGGGGTGAGTCTGTACTGGAATCCTGAAGAAACGAGAGAGTTGTGTCCAGAAGCAGTGGTAAAGACTGGAGTTCTTCCAAAATAGGGACACTTCCTTTTTCTTTCCCTTTGTATCCCATCCAGGCTACAAACCTATTGGTTGGTGTCACACATATCTGAGGTGGGTCTTATACCCTGTTTGTTGACCTACATTTAAATCATCAACAGACATGCCCAGAATTGTGCTTCAGTAATCTTCTCAGCATTTCTTAATCCATCCAAGTTAATGTACTATGATTTATGCTAAAATCTACCTCTAGTCAACAGACATATCTCCTTAAACCATACTTAATCTCCAAATTTAATATCAGCATACCTAACATGAAACAGCTGTCCTATGTACAAAGGGAAATGCAATAATTCCTTCCCCAGAATAGAAGAATAGAAGGAAGTTTTTCCATTGGGTGATGCAGTAATGCTTACTCTTCTCCTGACATTTATTAGTTAAATATTATAATGTAGATTTAGCAATACTTAAGTACTGACAATGTCAATGGATGTTATGTTATGAAGAAAGAAAAGAAAGATGTGTGTGTGTATGTATATACACAAGCATACTAACAGAGCAGGAAAGAAATACTTGTAGTTATTACAATGCTCATTTCTGTAGCTGGTCATGCAGGCACATCTAATGTTTATAACTTTTTTTCTTTTACTACCCATTCTATATTTCCTTGGCCTTCAGTAAGGAGCTCAGATGGTCTTGGTTCTTTGCTTGATGGGTGATCAACACCTTCATTCCCGAAGGTTCTTGGTCATTTATCATCCTGCCTGCTTTGGGTTGTTGTAGCTTCCTATTGACCTTAATAAAAGGGTATGGTAATACCGTACTTGGAAATGCCCTAAGAAATCTCCAGAACTCTAAACATGTTCTTGCTCACCTCCATGGTGGAGTGGTACCATTTCCCCTGAGTAGTCTGGATCTAATCCCTCTGCCAGCACTGTAACTCCCTTTCACCTTGTTGGCTCAGAAACATGAGGAGCCCAGAATGACCAGGGGAAGTCAGCTCTCGTTCAGTGGGATGGTGTTGTGCATCCTAGTGGAAGCCTCCTCGCTGGAGCAAAGACTTCTAAACCAGTGGACTTCAGGTCTCAGTCACTGATTCTTTGAAGTATTTCCCATGCAGTCTGGGTTTTTTCATGAACTCTCTGCCTAGCCCTATGTCTAAGATTTCTACCTACTTTCTCCTCTAAGGATTGAGTGTTTCTGTTTTAATATTTAGATCTTTGATCCATTTTGACTTTAGTGCATGGTGAAATACATGGGTCTAGTTTCAGTCTTTGGCATGTGGAAAGCAAGTTTTTCTAGCACCATTTATTAAAGAGGCTATCTTTCCTCCAGTGCACATGTTTGGCCCCTTTGTCAAAGGTAAGGAGGCTG